TCTGTTTCCTGTTCCGTGTTTGTGTTTAATAATTTAGGTTACCTGTGGAGGTAGCAGCAGGTGGCGCCAGGCATGAATGAGACTCTCTATGATGCCCTCTCCAAACAATCCTGCATCCACCGTCTCCGTCACTACCAAGGACACTCTGAAAAAAAAAAAACAATTAAATAAAAAACATGAAAAATACCATTTGGTAAACACAAGCATGGATTTCGTAACATTTCATGTAGGATTAATGTAAAATAGTTTTGGCATGAATTGTACCTGTGTGGGATGTCCTTTGGCACTTCCATCTCCAGAGATTTCATATGGAGGATCTTGATGCTACCATCCATCCCATTAGCAGTCACCACCTCACAGGCCAGTTCATACATCGTCTTGGAGAGCTCACAGGCATACACCTCAGCAGCCCCTGCCTTCTTCGCGCACATACTTAACAGAGAGAACCAGGAAATCAGAATAATAATACCCACGCATTAAAACACAGGCTCTATTCTAGCTGTAGTCAAAAGAATAAACTTGGTACCAATAAGTAGGCTCTTCTCATTTCTCTATTTTGTGCCACCAAAATTGAGAAATGAAATGAGAAAAGGGGAGTGTGGGTTTGGGCTCATAAAAAGTTCTAACTTAAAAATTAAATACACTTCATAACTTAGAGAGTAAAAAGTTCTCATGGAAAATATCTCACCCAAGGATCCCAGTGCCAGTACCTATGTCAAGTACAGTGTTGCAGCCACTCTGCACAGCCTTCTGAATGGCTTGCTGGTACTTCCGGTTCCTCCCACGGTCGTTGAGCATTAGGAAATGCCAGCGCTCCACCAGCCAGTTGGCCACACGGTAGAAGTTCTCCCTGGCTTCTGGGAAGTCTGGTCTCAGCTTCAAGGCTTTATGGAAATGACCTGCGGCCTCGTCTCTAAAGCCCATTCTGAAAAAGAAAGAAAAATTACAATATAGTAAAAAAAAAAACAACAACAACAGTGTAAGCAGATAATTCATTTAAATAATGTAACACTACATTATGTCCTGTAATTACAGGAGTGCTGATGCATGGTAATGAGGGTAATACCTGAACAGGTGTTCACCCATGCTGTTCAGGATGACCTCATCAGCAGGAAACAATTCCAGCGCTTGTTCGTAACAGTCAAAGAGGTCCTGAATGCGGCCCACAGAGTCCAGCTCTTCTGTCCATTTGAACAGAGTGAACCTAAAGGACTCCTAAAGGGGAGAGTTCACAAAATGTAGACATCTTTTTCGATTGTGCAGCAGTAAGAACACACTGCTGCTGGCAGACTGGTTCGTGTGTAAACAGTCATTACCTTTGCGAAGTCCTTAAACACAGGTGCAAGGTTGAGGACAAGAAGGTAGTGCACAAACGCAGTTCCATAATCTTGGTTGAACAGGCACTGCTGGGCACTTTCTAGGGAACTAGAGACCAGCTCGTTCCTGGCAGGGTCCTCTCTGCGTCGCCTTCGGGCCCTCCTGCCGTGCTTCGGCCTTGCACTGGCATTAGGCATCCCTTGCACACAAGAAAGGAGTGGACAATCTATTAGGAAACGATAATGTCTGATAACACAATATACAGATTTTAGGGAAGTAGTATGATGAACTCTAAGACTTTCTCTAAGATTATTAAGCTACTGTACAATGAATTTGAGCCTCCTGTTACTAGGATACAGAGAAGTGCTCCTAACTTTGCTGCAGTTTTTTTTGCACAGTACGTTAATACTAGTATTTTATGAATGTTTTTATGAAATGTTTTGTATTTGTATTCATATTCTCACTTATAATAGTAAAAGGTCCCACATACGACACTGCACTGTACGGCAGCCAATTCCTGCCAGGAAGAGACAAAAACAAATTCATCAAAGTCAATTATTTTTCTTGCTCAAATTTTTTGTTTTATTTGAATTTTTTATATGAATTATTATTATCTAGGGTTGGGGCAAGTGCAATAGCTCAGGCTATAAATGCTGTGGTGTGTGGCATTTCTTTATGCTAAATACATACAAATTAACCCTATACAAATAATAAAATAAATCTAATTTTGATTAGGGGGTTTACATTTTTTTTAAGGTTTGTTACTACTATTTAAGACCAACCTGGAATTAATAACGTCAACATAAACAGGAAATACTACGTAAACAAGCCACTGCTCATTAGTGAAAACAAAACGCTAAGTAACTCACAGGTATTACCGACCATTTATCTCGACTTACTGTGTTTTTAGATGACAGGCTGTGTGGTACGGGACCGGGGAAGATCACCTCTGCTGTCAGTGTTCGTTAAGGTGTCGTTGCTAATTGAGCAAACACGCAAACATCATAACATCACGGTTATTCTGTCCAATAAAGTGGTTAGCATAACTGTGAGCGGTCCTTCCTCTGGCAGCCGCCTTCCGTCGGCTCACATGATAAAAGTAAGGCTGTTGTGACAGTCGCTACGATGAATAATAATTAATAAATAAAGCCCGTTTCCGTTTATATTCACGTTACAACGGCTAGGTGTTGATTAAAACCGTAAATCACATTGCTGCTAAGCATCATGCATCATCTACCGCTGAACAAGAAAAAGTGTCCGCCCGCTAAAAGAGCTCGGCAAGAAACACGTAACTGGACATGGTTCTGTTGTTGTAAAAGTTATTATATTTTACTTTACGAGCAGCGCGCATTAACCGTAGAAAACATGGTAAATAATAGTATTAGTATTTATTTACAAATGACGTTATAGTTAACGCTACCGCCTCAGATTAGTCTCTCAAGGAACCAATCACGGGCGAGTCGTGAAGCACAATCAAAGAGTAAAAAAGATCAAGATCATTCACACCCATTAAAACGCCCTACATAATGTGATTTACCCGCGTTTAATGCAATCTAGTAGATTAAGTATGAATTATTTGCTCACTCCAAAATGACATGTCTTTGTCAGTGCTTTCGATTATGTGTGTGTCGTCTTGTTGATGTCAACCTTGTAGCAGAGTTATTCTACAAGTTTGTAGATTTTATAAGTTTTTAGTTTTCATTTTCAGCTCAAGTAGTTTCAGGCAGTTTCCAGAGTGGGTTTCGTCATTTTAATTTTGTTTTACATTCAGTTTAAAAATCCTAGGTTTTAATTAAATTTTTTATTAGTTTTGGTATTAGTTTTTTATTATAATATATAATATTTAAGAAGTTCAGAATGGCCATTATAATACAAACGACAGTTGACTCACAGTCATGTAGATATCCCAAGTATCAAATACATGCACCAATGCCACCACCAATTTTTCTAGTATTTATTTGTTATTTCTGTTGACTAAATTGTTTTTTCATACCTAATTTTATTTTTAGTTTTAGTTTAAGTTGCTTTGCCTTGTAGCCACATCCACCGTTTGTGATGATCTGACTGAGGAGCTTGGTAGGTTTATATGAAGCACTTTTTGGATACCTGGGACTGGTTTTGAGTTGGATTCTGGTATTCTTGACGGTCTACCTGCTGTAGGAACTGAAGGATACAAACGAAAATAACATCGGCCTGCTCTCGGATTTGATCTTTGTTGTAATGATTTCCACTTTGATTGTTCTTTGGAGAGCCTCTGCTTCTCTGTTGTGTTTCCCTTGCCTTCCTGTGTAAGCCTTTGCGTGGTTATGGGCCATTTTACACACCCTAATGTACTTTCTATATATGGTTCTATCATACTGCATACTTTATACCTTTCTGTAAATTGTACAAGTGCAGGTTGTACTTCCTGTTTACCCTCTAACTTTACCAGGCCCTCACCTATCACCACATACATCAAATACTCTGATGACACTGTCATCCTCGCACTCCTTAGTGACAAAAACTCTATTCAAAGCTCTCTAGACTCCATCTACCACTTCACACAGTGGTGCACAGACAACAATCTGCAGCTGAACATCACAAAAACAAAAGAACTGTATAAATAACACCTTCAGCACCCACAGCACAGCCCCCATCTCCACCCGCAGTCCCACCTGCATCAATAATGAAGCTGTTGAGATGGTAGGGGGCTTCAAATACCTTGGACTCACCCTGGACAATAAACTAAGCTTTGAACAACACACATTCACAAACGCTGCCAACAAAGACTCTTTGCTATCCACAGAGTCAAGGCTCAGTCTGTTTTGTCCCTTCGGAATACCTGAATGTATGTACAAATGTTCTGTGTTTAGATGTCTATCTTGTGTCAGTGTTGTGTGTATACGTATGAGATTATGTACAGACTGTGGCATTTCCTGGAAAGGACAATAAAGAATCTATTTATCTACTTTTACATAAGTAAAAGATCCAAATACTTCACCCGGCGAACTTCCCATTTCACCAAGGTTATGTCTCCTTGGGGACATTTTAATTTAGAGTATTAACAATTGGATTAATAACGTGCTCAGCTGACTCTAATGTGTTGAACAGAGCCCCAAACTACACTGAAGATGTGGAGGGAACAAATTCTAGAAATTGTTGCGTGCTAAAAGATGCCTGGAAGACTGAACTATAAAAAATAAGTTGGTTAAGGAACAATCTGACAATCTTAGTGGATATATGTCCAGAGAGAGCAACCTAACTTCAAAAGAGTATGATAGTTTAGTACAGTAGCTATAATTGTTGCCATGTACTAGTACACACTACATTATTGTAACCAAATATCTGCCTTTCTTATGTTAATGTGTGTTGTTTTGTTTTCATTGTTTTTGTCTTTTTTGTTTCTTTTTGTCGCTGGATATTCTTGTTATAAAATGCAATAAAAC